TTATCATTGCAGGTTCGTTTGGTTGTGAAAACTAAAAGAAGTTTCCACAGCTGACAATACTCTGAACTATGACAACAAAGAATGCATTAGTGAAAGAAAAAACACATCTAGAATAACTTTTTCATACAGGGCCATGTAGGTTCAGATGTTTTTCCTCATTAGTACCTTTATTTAAAATGATTTTCATTTCCTTTTGTTGTCTTTGGCTAATATTTGGACGGGTTTGATGTTCTGAAACATCAAACCATTAAACATTCTGAAATGTGCTAAAAAAAGAAAAGAAAAAAAAAGGAAATAAGCAAAATTTTAATACAAAATTTGAAAATACATGTTCTGAATGGAACCACTGCAATTTGTTGATAAAAGGTTTTGGTACTAGAATTAGGTGGATTTTTTGACTGTTTCGAAATTAGCTTATTTTGCAAAACTGCTATGGAAACGCTTTTTTAACATCACACAAGTCACATGATCAACAACCGGACGTTACTACTGGTGGAAAAGTTGAAGATGACGACAGGAAGTGGTAGGAGGGTCACAGTGTGGAATGCTTTTTAATGACTTCTTCCGTGAACAAATATATTAGTGTGTGATTTTAATCACGCCACAATTTTAACGGAAATACAGAAATTGCAAAATTATGCATTTTCAACTTCAGCAGAATATGGACAACGTTTTGCGGTGAGGACTCACTTCTTCAGAATGTCTTGTTTCTTCTGGTCTTCGGACGTCGGCAGTCCCATGGACTTCTGCCTCTGGTCGTACATCATCTTCTCCACCATCCCGCGCGTCTCTCCGTCCAGGTCTGACAGCTGCTCAGCAGGTAACAGAAGACGATCAGTGTTACCAGTTTGTGGTCCCTGTTGCTGAGCAACCGACCACCCAGCGCCGAACGCAGTGCGCTGATGTTTTACCTTTGAGTTCTCGGGGCAGATTTTCTTGGTGTTTATCTCTGGATCCGTGGTAACGATCTTACTCCACCACTCCATTTTGTTAATCTTCTCCAGGTGGACTGTGACCACTTTGCCGTCATCGATGAGCCAAGAACTCTCCTCCACCTTGACCTCGTTGAAGAGCTGACCCTCCATGACAGGAGGGTGACCTTTCAGGCCGACCTTGATGGAGCGACGCTGGATGTCCACCACCACGTCTCGGCCCTTGATGCGGAACTTCACGTCGAAAGGCACAGCAATCTGCGGCAAACCCAAAAAGATCCACCAACTAGTGAAGCATGCTTTCAGCACTTTTTCTTAACAGACTCCTAAACTAAAAGTTTAACATTTCACACTCCATACTTCCTATGATTGTCCTAAAGGAAACACACAGTCAAGCACAAACGACACACTTACATCGATTTCTGACAGCGTTTGTGTCCATTTGTAGTTAGGAAGGTCCGCTCCGTTTCCTGAGTTCGGCTTCAGTTTGTCTTTGTCCTTCTCGTCCTCCTCTGCATCCGAGTCGGACTGGATGGAGAAAAAACAGCTTTTAGTGCCGTTCCACATTAAGGAACCATGTCCTGTTGCATTCTCAGGGTTTCTGAACATTTCAGCAACTCACATTTAAGACTTTTTAAGACCTTAAGACTATGAAGAATGAGACGTGAAATCTGTAACAACAAATGTACACAAGAAAAATTACGCAACTCTTGTCACATTCTTACTTTAGTAAGAATGTGACACTGATACTGACGATACTGTGTATCTTCAGTACACAGTATACTGATTACTGTTCCGTTTAGTTTTTACTCATCCTCCAAATTCAGTTGCTGCTCTTAGTAGAGGTGTGATGCTGCATATTTTAGCATCAGTCCAATAACAAAGCAAACACAGAACCAGTATCACCAAAAGCTAGCAAGCTAGCTAGGGTATGTTAGCAACTAATTAGCGGCGGCTTCAGAAAAAATAAAGATGTCAGCTGATAAGAAACGTTTGACAAAAAAGTCCCACAAGAACAAATTAAACAAAAAACTACAGTGCAAAGAAAATGAGATTAGATAGTCCTGCCACGACAAAATTTGTGATCAATGAATTTATTTAAGGCAAACTTGACTCTTAAAATGCCTTAATTTTAGATCCATGAATCCTTAAAAAAACTTTTTAAGGTTGAGTGGACACGCAGTCATTAGACGCTCCTTTATGTCCACTTTTAAAACTCAACACTTTTATTCCTTGACTTTGACATGATTCTGTGACTGCTGTTGTATTACTCTTAATGTTGCTTTAAATGCATTTCTTATTGTTTCCTCATTTCTAAAATGTTCACAATTTTACGTGAAGCAGTGTAGTTCTCCAAGGTGCCAACCGGTTCACTCACCCCCTTCTCTTTGTCAGAACTCTTTTCTTCACCTCCTGTGTCATTCTTTGTCTTCTCCTCCTCATCCTCCTCTTTCTTCTTCTTCTATCACATATAAAACCACAACAAACAAGTCAATCATTTCTGGAAGTGGTTTGATTGCAAAAGAAGACTCGGTGGAAGCAGGCAGGTCAGACCTTGTCCAGCTCAGACTGCAGCTTCTCGGCCTCCTCGTCCGTCAGCTCCTGAATTCTTGGACCGTCCTCGTCCTTCTTCTTCTTCTTCTCCTCCTCAGCAAGCTTGGCACTTCTTTCTGCTTTCTCCTTCTTCTCCTTCTCCTGTTTCATTTGTTTCTCTCTGTGGGCCTTCAGCGCCAGCTTACTGTGGTGCTCGAAGGAATCTTTCACCAGCTAGAAGTGACGCAGGAGTCAACATGTGACAGGGGAGCACATTCGCAGGGTTAAGTCTGACAAAATGGTAACAGAAACTAGAGAGTAGAGGTGGGATGAATTACCAAACCCACAGTTTGGTTTGGTAAACATATTTTAAATCAATACACTAACCAGAAACGTCTGTTATGAAATAGACATTTCCTTCCTTGACTCACACTTTTGAAATTGAGGTATTAACAGCAGAATTGAGATGTAGGTTCAAAAGATCAATTCTCCAGAATGAAACATGTAGTCAAGTAATATTAAAACTAAAAAAAGATACACTTATTATCAAAGTAGAGTTAAAGTAGGATGTGATTGTATGATCTCAGAAAACTAAATAAGGTTTTTTTCCCATCTACCAACTTTTACTTTACAATATCACAGAATATTTTTGTTTAATGTTATAAGTGTATGCTTTAAATAAAAAAAAATTTTAATTTTTTTTCTTGCAATTATACAACCTTTTGAGATCAGAAAACGTTCAAATGTTTCCTAATAAACATTTAGATATTCTGCTTTACCCCCCTCACTGCCATTGGTCCAATACTATTTTTACAGATGTGCTCATCTAAATTTCATGTGCATTTTAATTACTTTATTTTTAATTCTTTATTTCATTTCTCTTTTTAACAACAGCTTCATCCCAACTATTCTTACCTTCTCTGCAGCTCCTTGATCTCCGCCTATGAAGAAATCCGTCTTGCGTCGGAGGAAACTGAAAAAGGTATTTACTAGCTGTTGGAGGGTAAAAAACACGTTCCAATGAGAAAAATAATGTTGAATGACTGCATTTTAGATTGTTTCTTACATAGAAAGAGCATGAAAGGTTGTTCTTTGGTACTTTAGGTCTGTTAGAGTGAAGTATTGTTATCGCCACAGTGTGAAACATTTTCACTATCTGGATATTAGGAATATGTGTGTCCTACTTTTACACTCCTTGTGAAAGTATCCAAACTCATAACAGTTCTCCAGATTGCGGATAAGGCTATGGCAACAACAAATAAATCAATTAATTGCATGATTGATTAAAACAGACTCACCAATACTTCAGGAAGGCACTAGAATTTGCTGATGAAAATAACTGACCCTTACAGAAACATCCGTCTCCAAATACTTCCAGTAAAGAGCAGCAGCATCACACCAACATGCACAACTATGATCAACCTTCTTTCTATTCAGTTTGTAAGCTGCCATCTGAATGGTTTCAAGGGCTAATCTCATATCGTAGCCATTGGTGCTCCGAATTTACCACAAAGAGCTGATGGTTATTGTTTAATGCGTCCCAATATCAACGTGGTATTAATGTTTACATTGTATGACAGGAGATTAATTTAAATGCCTCTGTATTTCTGCCAGTACAGGTCGAAACGTGTCTTAGCCTAACTATTAGCATCATAGCATCAGGATATTAGCAGCACGCTGGTTTACCTCCTGTACTCCTCCTTCGTGTTGCTGGGCCATGACGAGCAACATACCGTCATACTTTTCTTCTTCTTCCCCCATATTACCAGAGATGAGACTCTTAGCTTATCGTTAAATGCGCGAGTGACAAATAAAGTTAAAATAACCCTAAAGATGTGCTCTTGTCTGAACCTGTTGTCACGCGACTCACTTCCTGGAAACTGATCCCGCCTAGGTTAGTTTGACCAATCAGAAGGGCGTATTTTAACTGACAAGGACAAGCATCCAATTGATAGAGAGTATTTGTTCGGGGCGGAGTGAAGAGCCCCGGTAAAACAGAATTTTCTAGAGAAATAATGATAATAAAAAACCCAGAAATAAAACAAATAAAAAATAAAGATATAAAATACTCTTTCAACTTCACATTATTTACTTAATTAATTTTATTTCACAGGCTTAACATTGCAGGTCATTTGAATAGCAAACATTTAAAATAGCCGATATAGCTTGTTTGCAGTTTCCATGGTAGCTTTGCAGCTTTGCCCTGATTTGCCCAATTAGAATAAATTTTTTTTAACCTAATGTCAAAAACTACTAAATTGAGTTCACGTGAACTTACTTTTTCAAAAATATTTTGTTAATGTTTTCATATATTGTGATTTATCAGAAAAAGATTTGTCAAGGCACTTTCAAATATAATGTGTTGTATTTCTAACATTTTTAGCTTTCATTCATTCATTCATTCATTCAGCTATTCTGTGAAACTTTTACAGTTGCAGATGTCCCTGTTGTCACTTAAGATATTTAGTAGTCATATATTATGTGACAACTAAATACACTAAATGCTCACTTCAATTTTCACTGAATTTGACAAGCTTTTTATAAATATATATATTTTTTAATTTCCAGTGACAACACGACTAATGCAGGCAAACCATCAAACATTTGAAAAACAAGAATACCATAAGTAACCACTGATTTCACACATAGAACTCAAAAAAAGCCTAAGATAGACTGGGCTGTTACACTTCTACACTTTTAATTTTGATAATATTGACAAGAAGTTTGATTTTTTTGAAAATTATTCACCTGCTCAACAGAGGAACATCAGAAAACATCTGCTGTTTAAAGGACAGAAGCTTCGAAAAGGCAGAAAGTGAGAATTTGAGAGATTTCAGATTTCCCCTTAACAAGCAAGAGCTACCTGTGAAATATGAGCTTCATATTCCAATCTCTCTGAACATTAAGTATAGTTTTATGCGTCTTTTAAGATTTTTAATCAAAAATATATTTCTTACAAAAGACAGGCATTCAAGTTCCAGAGAAAGAACTGGAGTTCCGGCATGTTAGCTTAGTTAGCTTAGCATATTACTCTGAAAAACAGCAGTCAGGGCAGGATATTGGTCTGTCAACTGTTGAAAACAACTTTAACCACAGAATGAGGCGCTGACTTGTGATTAACACACTAAAGAGGTGTGTGTCTAATAAAGTATTTCTATTGCACTGTTAGTAATTGGCAAGAAAGAGGATTTACATTTCGTTTGTACAGAATACCATAAAAAATTAGAATAAATTAATGATTGGCCATGATTAAAAATTTTTTAATTAATCTGAAAGCGATGTAATTTTGATTCTTACTTATACTAATATCACTTTTAAATATTTGAAAAGATCTTAAACAAATTCTTCTTCTCTTAGACTACTGACACTTTGACCATTAAAATGTCTCTAACACAAATTAAAATAAGAAAATTCATAAACAAAGAAAGCAAAAAATTGAATGAATTAAAATCAACTCTATAAAGGCAAAAGTATGGTGAAATGTATACTAACAAAACAAAAAGCAAAGGGAAAAACTGTACTACGTAACAAGAGCACGGGTAAAGGACAAAATCAAGCTGTAGAGCCTCAAGCTCTTCACAAACAAGCGAACGGTCAATTGTCATAAAAAATTTAACTGTTTTACAGACGGAGTCCCAATTAGACGATCCTTCAAATGCACAGATACAATATTTACATTCATAAATATCTGCACGCAGAACCCTGAGTTCACTGTAGCCTTCACACAATTCCACCCTTCACATTTTTCTCCTTCCTGTCAAAGGAGCTCGGCTCAGCCAGACACTCCAGTGCAAGTAAAGTCGTCCTTCCAACACCCAGTGCGTGGCCAGAAGGAGGCAACTGGGTGGTTCCGTACCGCTGCTTCATGTCCTCGCCGAAGCGTGCAGTAGTGGCACGCCTGAAGACTCCATCTCTGAGTGAGAGGGCGAGTAGGTTGATGGAGAACTTGAAGTGGGATCTATTAGACCAGAACAACAACAAATGCTGTCAATCTTAAGTGAATGTCAGTCTGTTACATTCTAACTCACAGAATTAGAATTTGAGTTTTGGGGAGTTGTGATGTTCTTGATCTGCATTTCAGAACATAAACCCTGTAATTAAGGTTTTAGCCAGGGCCGGCCCAAGACGTTTTGAGGCACAAAACAGGTTTTTTCATTTTTGTATTTTGGGCCCTCCATACCAACATCACAACACCAGATGCTTTATCATTTCTAAGCATATAATATACCAAATAAATCATTAGGATAATTTGTAATTAGCTTACATCATACCAATGTTATTATGGCTGCTGATTTTAACTTTATTGGAGTAACAAACTAAAGAAATTATTTGGAATTTGAAATGCAGAAAGGCATTTCAGCGTGTCATATTGTTTTAACTACTCGACAAACAGTAAATATGAAGTAAAAAACCCCAACTAGTTTGACGTCTTATATTTCCCCAACAGAGGCAGCAGCCATCAACAGGAAGAGATTTACCATTATTTATGTATCAACTATAAAAACAATACAGAAATTGGTTTTACTTATATTATCGCATTTAGTTTGCATTGTTCAATATTATATATATTTCAGCATATATGTTTTTCTGTAATTATTGCTAGCTTGGTGCTCTTGGTCATTTAGCTCTGGATGACAACCAATACGAAGGTAAAAACATTGCTAAATTATGAATGCACCACGAATATCCTACACAGACTCATTCCACATCAATATTTTCATGTTTTTTTGTCCTCAGAAGGCATTCTGAGTCTCTTTCTACTGACATTTTAACAAGGTTTTTGAAAGCACTCCTAAGCAATACAATACACATTTGATCTTATTTTATTAACATGAAGCTGATCACTGAAATACCAGCGCCCAAGGCGAGCCCCCCAGCAGTTTGCCCTTTGTTCACTTTCTGTTTTACAGTGCATGCTTACAGTGCAGCTGTGTAGTAAACAGCAGGAGCCTGCCAGGCATGACTCAGGTGTTTTATTACAGCGAAATTTTAAAGGCTAACACATTTTCTGCTGACGGAGAAGTCTGGAAAGTCACAAATCATTTAAAGCTTCTTATGTGTGCCTGTGCAAGCAAACTGTTCAGGCTGGCTTTGTTGTTGTGTTGGTATTAAAGCTATGTGCAGCTGCATTACACTCTCTTACATTTAGTTAACACAGAAGAGGTCGTGAAATGTAACCCTTTTTATTGTTTTCATCGAAATAGATTCATGATCAGTCATAAGTATGACAATAAGTTATACATTTCTGTGAAATGCCTATAAGTGCAAGATACTCTGAATGTGCGAAGTATTTGGTATGCTGTTTTAGTCAGTGCTGTTTAAAGCACGTCTTAAATCATATTAGTTGGACCACATTGATGTTCAGAGGAAATTGAAAATATTCACTAAAATCAGTGAGACAATACTTGAGATTGAAAAAACCCCCCCAAAAACAGACGTAAGTTAAAATTCTTTGGATCCTGAGTTACTTTGCTATCGATTTATTTGTCATCAATCAAATCAGTGCAGTTGATATATGTTTACTGCCAAATTATATCAATCAGTCCCTCCAGTTTCTTGAGAATTTGGAACGTGGAAATTCACACAAAATCAACCAATCCCTGCACTTTTTTGCGCTAATACATAATTAGGAGTTTATTGCAGATTTTTCTCAAAAAGTGACAAAAGCTTGTACTAAACAGCTGCCTTAGTTGATGTCAGGTCAGCCCACAACCTGTAGAAAAGATCCCATTTACCATCAGTAATAAGTGCAAATATTTCCAAATTAGTATCACAAACACTTTGATTTAAAAAATAAAAAAATAAATCACAAAAAGTATAACATAATACTGGAGGGACTGAAAAGATGTTCAATAATATATTTTTTTAATTGTAAGAATTTATTGATATTTTAACAGTTTGCGAACAGGTTTTATCAACACGTTCTGGCACAACTGGCCCTTTAAGACCATTTATGATCTTGAATAGTCACAAAACGAAAATGAGTTTGACTCCCCTGCTTTAATGGGTCCCTAGTCAAAGTAGTTGCTGTGGTGATATGGGCCCAAGTGGGACAGTCAGTCGGGAATCAGGCATCAGTGCCTTAACATCCACCCCGTCCTTCACAACACATGCAACACTATATAGCGGGGGGCTGGTGCCTGTCTGGCATGTTGGTGGGTCTAGAGGGACCCGGTTCCAGGCTTGGCTTTTTGAGAGTTGTGACTGTTGAGTTGGTGCTTCGTGTCTGTCTGAAGCAGGTGTGACCTTCCAGAGCTGCGTCCACTTACCCTTAGTAGCTCTAACAGAGGAGGGTTAAGTACACCTCCCCCCCATTACATATAGCTTTTTCATTTTAAATAGCATCTCATTAATACTTAAGTTGCTAACTTTAAGTGTTTCTGTAAGCAACATCTTCCTTATTGAAGAGTTTTCTCAACAGGGTCTGGTAAAGTGCGCTTACTTACACATCAAGCTGATAATTATTAAATTCCATCTCACACCTTTCTCTTTTTCTCTCTAATAAATGCAAACATTGCAAATATTTAGGTATCAAAAATTAATAAAACATAATCCTTACCTCCATTCTTCCTCCACATGTTTCTGGCAAACTTGTCAGTGGAAGTCAAGTCGGATATTTGGATGTTGGGATTTGTCTTGTAGTCGTCTTGAGGAAAAGAAAACAAAGACACACTTTTCTCTAACACCAGTAGGTATGTCGTACATATTACAGGGTAAATGAGTGAAAACTGCTCAACTTACTGTTGTTGCTTGAGGGAAAGGAGCCACTCTCTATCATGGTCTCGTGCCCACTGTCCGACATCGTCCTCTCCATCCTGGGAATCGGCGGCCGCTTCTTTGTGCTCTTCCGAGTGCTGATGCGGATGATGCCCCGCACCAACCGGCACTCCGCTTCCTGCTCGTCCATTTTGTGCTCCTCTGCCAGGGAGTTGATGAGTTGGTTGATGGCTTTGCTCTTCCTCAGAAACACAGAGTCCGAGGTGCACCTGGCCAGCTCTTCGATTTGATACTCAGAGTACAGCTCCAGTAGCTTCTTGGTGATCAGGGAGTCCACGTTCTCGTCGCCGTCCTCCCAGTCATTAAATGGCATAGAATCATTCAAGGAGGCAAACTCTGATGGGGTTTGAGCAGGCAGCGGCGCATATGTTGAAGATTTGACGTCGTAATCTAAATCATCTTTTGGACCGACTACTCTAACTCCATTGATGCGAAAGTCTGACCATTCGGTGTCAGCCTCTTCTTTGTTGTTGTCCGGGTTAAGACCTCGGAGACTGATCTTTTCTGCCTCATCTTGGGAGCTCTCGTTCGGCGGCAAACGTGGAGGGTGGATGCAGCGCTGGCACACCTTATACAGTCCAAAGGTGATTACGGTGCACACAAAGGTTTTACAACTCTTTGGAGAAGAGCAGGGATTGCAGCTCGATGCTGCAGATGAAGGCTCAGCTACACCGGGAACAAAGTCAATGGTCTCAGACTCGTTCCCATCAGCGTCTTTAAGGCGGCCTTTGTGGACTGGCTTTGGCTGTGGGGTTGGCTGCCTATCCTCCACCGGGTCCACACACCGCTCCTCGGTGAAAGACACTTCCCTGGTGCTCCCCAGCCTCTCGCCGCGCCTCAGACTGTCACTGGTGCCAGCAGACATGACTAACTAGCTGCAAGAATCCAACGGGAAAAGAAGCACAACAGAGAGGTTACATTAAAAATGGTTATACGATATTATCTTTCTGTCAGGCAGAATATCAAATCTCCTGTTAAACCACTTGAGGGTTTAACGAGATGGTGATGGATTCCTTTTTATCTTAAAAAAAAGGGAAAAGGAATCCACTATTACTGGCAGGCAGGTAATGTGGCCCAACAGGTTTCATGGATGATGCACCTGGTGAGAGACAATCACCCATTCATACATCCGATTATCTGTGTGATGTCATGGAGTATTCCACAATGATAAACAACTCATTCAGTTTGGTCACAACTGAGGAGTCAAGACCGCTCAGTAAGGCACAAATAAAGTCAAAACAAACATTGACTGAGCTGCATTAATATTAATAGTAATACTAGCATTAATAATAATTCTGACAATATTCATCATTTGTGTTATTATTATCATCTTTATTGCAATTATTATCATTGTCTCACTGCAATGCATTAGCTTATCTACGACTACTTGTGACAAAAATAAAGTTATTTATTTTGGTGATAATTTTAGTCTTGCTATAGTGGTAATATTCAAAAATTATATCAGTAGATACACCAACACACAAGCTACTGTTGGTAATAGCAATATTTTATAACACTAATGTTAACAGTACTAGGACTACTGCAGTACTACTATGACTGCTACTAATAATATTAGTAAAAAAAATAACTATAAGCCTCTACAGGCTTGTAATATGAAATAGCAACAATAATATTAATATTTTTATATTTGTGGCTAATTGGTATAATAATCATTTCAATAATAATAATAATAATAATAGAATTAGAAGTAATTCTTGTCAGTAATATTAATAATAATTAATAATTAGTATAACTACCATTTCAAAAAGGTGACAATAATAACAGTGAACACATTATGTGTTATTGGTGGTGTTAGACTACATAAGGTGATTTATAATAATATTAATATTAATAATGATACCAATAGCACTGTCATTATTAACATAAGAAATGATAACAAAGTAACAATAATGCACTTTGTCTTAATAATAAAATAATTAATCGGGCCTCTACAACCAAAACAACAGCAACAACAATAATAATTATTATTATTTTATTTTTTGTAGTGAGATTAATTAGTATAATAATGATGTTTTTAAGATTGAATAGTAAAGTTATGTGGTACAACTGGCATTAGCTTAAATACGTCAACTTGGGATAATGTTAATTATGTTTAAAGATAAAAAATAATGTTATTAAGATATGAATGCTATAATATTCTGACTGACTGAATGATCCTGTGTTTCGTCACCAGTCTGGTCTCAGTGCTGACGTCCTCTGCGACGACGACGGTTCAAAGCAACGTCGCATTAATCTCGTCCACTCAACGAAAACGTTTCGCTGTTTTACGAATATGCAGCCTAATTACTAATTCAGCTAACAATAGGCTAAGATACTGGAGACATTGGCTCGCAGTCACTTTTTGTCTTTGAGCCTGTGTCAATATTGTTTTCACGTTCATGGCGACTTGTCACTGCGTCTCTTCCTCCATTATAAACTTCTCACCTATAGCCAGAGTACGCTGCGTCCACAAGCCGATTCCCCCCAAAATCACGGCTTTCCCGGTATCCCACAGGTCAACATGTGTGTTTTAGTCCATCTGTGACAAGGAATTGGGACCAAAACACTCCAAAACGAAAGTTTGAGGAAAGTTTGGGGGAAATCCGTGTACCTGAGCGTCAAGGTACAGGAAGCGAACCAGGTAAGACAAAACCGGAGTGAGGACTTCCGGTTAGAAGTGGATTTAAAAAATAAAACTCAGGTAAAATGACAAACTTTGTGGATTCTAATGCACAAGTATCCGCTCATGTACGCCTATTTATATAGTTATATATATTTATAGATCTATAAATTTGCATGAAATAAACTTTTTTAACGACAAACATTAAGTTTCAGCGGCGCAAATTGATGCAATTTTACTTTGAAACTTGCATTTCCGGAAGGCCATAGCAACATTTGGGTAGTTTATTATGCTGTTGATATGCTTGGGCTGTACTGAGACATACGGTAAAAAAAGAAACTGAAAACATAAAACAGATACGTGTATTAAGAGACAAATAAATAAACGAAGGAACGGGACCATCAAATGGATTTGAAAGAAAAAGACGAAGAGGAAAAAAGTTGATAGATAACCGTTGATTGGACTAGATCAGAGATTTGCAGATTTCCTCAAACCAGATCTCTGCAAGTCTGATAGGTTGCTAAGTGACCTGGGCAAATAGACAAAAGCCATTAACTCCACTATTGCTCCGATTTATTTACTTATGCTTGAAAAAGCATTTAACTACCAGAGGTAGGAAATAAATACAGCAGAGGCTTCTTGAAACAAATAAGATTCTAGTTTTGAAATATCTTAGAATAATGAGATATAAAACTATACAATTTTAAAACCAATTAAAAGCCATTAGAATGTTGTTTACACAATTATTGGTAACAGCAGAAGCTCACAGGTTATTTCAGGAACATAAGCTCGCTAAAGACAAATGTCTAATTTCAGTGAGTTTTATATCTGCATCAGTTTTTGGAAGAGACTCCGTTCAATATTGATTTGGTTTTGTTCACCGGTGTTTTTTCGATGGCTTCACCAAACAGATTGCTTAAACTGAGATTAAATTAAACAAAGACGGGACTCTACTTAGTTATCAGCTGACTCATAACGACGCTGCAAAATACTGTATGTTAGCCCCTCATAGATGCAGAATCGTTCGAGCACGAAGACTCGTTTGGCGAAGCAGTTCTTTTAGAAGAGCCGAGTCACGTGATATGGCTCTCGGAAACGAGCCGCAATTCCCACCGTTATGCCATTAGGTTATTAAAAAAAAGGTTTCGAGGTTTTACTGGAAAGAATTGAGAGCAACTTATGGTTTCATGCTAAGTGTTGTCTATATACACAAGGACGTCGAGATCAAGAAGTGCTGCAGGTTAAAGTGTGTGGGAAACCGGGCAGGGCAGCTAGCAGCGCGGATGCTGCTCACGATGTTCAGTCAGTCGGGACACAGCTGGATGAACTGGCTGCGCCGCTGAGTGGAGGAGCTAAGCTAACGATGGGCAGTGGATTATCGCTCTAGCTGGGGCTCAGTCTTCCTGCAAACGGAAAAGAGTCGTTAATGAAGCGGCATGGAGGTTAAACATGACATTATCTGCGGTCCGGAGTCACACGCTTATTTATTGACCACCCGCAGAGAGGTTTCACTCGCTTGTTCTGTCCGTGGAATGACGACGCTCGCGGCGGCCGTCCGCCTCAGGAGAGTGGTCGGGATCCGGTGATGTTGTCGCTCGGTGCCCTAATCGGGACAGAGCGCCCACGCTGTTTTAGAAACCATGAAGAGCCGTGAGTATCAGCAGATCGACCCGAAGGCGCTGCCTGCACCGACCCACAACCCCCCTCCTCACCGACACCAGGCTGTCGGCGATGACGGGAGGAAGGAGCCGAGGACACCCAGGAGAAAGTGGGAAGTTTTCCCCGGGAAGAACCGCTTCTTCTGCGATGGACGGATTATGATGGCCCGTCAGAGCGGGGTCTTTCCCCTCACTCTGGGCCTCATCCTGGTCACCAGCGGTTTATTTTTTATATTTGAGTGAGTTGTGTTCCTTATATTTAAAACGACTGAAGTTTGGTCAAATGAATTCCTCGTCTAAAGAGCGCATTTCATTATCATAATTTAGTTTGTTTCAATAAGATCATTCACTTGCCCTTTCCTGTGGTGACATCGCACGAGGAGTTATTTTGATCTATTTTTTTTCTTTACAAGTTTTTAACCAAAGGATTTATTTTTGTTTGTTTTCCATAAAGCTGCAGGAAATTGTTGCGTTCATAAGTAAAAACATTGCATGGCTTTCAGGGAGACTGAACAGCAATAAAACGTGTTTCAGAAAATTGCTCAGAAAACTCGGAAAATACAACGGAAAGTCTTCAGAGGATGCACATTTCACCAAACTGCAAACACTGATCAGAATAATTGGTTCTCATCTGTCCTGTGTGACGTGTAAATCATAAATTGTAATTTTCAGACATTGCTTTTGGTCGTGCTTACAAGTTTAATATAATTTGTGAAATTCAAAAAATATTAGCAATATGTGGTCAAATTGATCGACTGATCAAGAAATATACATATTCAAGACTCACTTTTGCTGCAAGACAAAAGTATCCTGATGCCAGAAAAACAACAAAAAAAAACAAAAAAGGACATGCACTACATGCAAATAGGGGCGCTGCCCTACAGGGGGCGCCAAGACGATGGTGTAAAAATGATTTCCAATAATGTAATGTCCGCATACACCTCAAAATTCAAAATTGTGCCCCTGCCTAACGCAATAAATTAGTGCAAGAGGCTGACTTAGTGCCATTAGAATATTAGACATGTGTTTAATATTCAAAGACAGACCTTTTCCTCCAGGTTTGAGAACCTTATTTGCACTACGTCAAACCTAAAACCTTCAGGGATTCGCTCAAGTTAATGTACTGGTTGTTTTATGTTATCTCTTGGAAGTTTTCTAAGAGGTCATGTTAAAATCTCGTCACATCTTGTCTTGTCAGTATGTCAATATTGTGTCTTGTCCAGCGAGTTCTGGGTGTCGTTACACCGATAATCAAAAGTCACTCATCTTTCATAAGCCTGTCATAATAAACACTGAATCGATTAGCCAATTCATTTCATGTTAAATTAAAATAAGCCTGATCATTTCCATTCTGATGATGAATCGTTTTTGAGACTTCATGATCCATTTTATTTATGGTTTTGGTTGTGTGTGGTTCTGATGTTGTTTTTATGCATCGCTTTTGGCTGCATGTCGTGTTTTATTTTGGATATTTAAGATGTCTTCCAGTTTCAGTGTTACGTGTTTTTAAACAAGATAAAAGTTCAGCGAATTTGCAATATTATGCCGTTATCTACATAACTCGTGAAAATGGTCTAAAAACAACAGAATTATTGTTTCAGAAGCAATAACTTCGGGAACGATTCATCAACAAACAAAAATTGGTATCACGACAGACAGTCCTGATCGTACATTGTATTTATCCATTAGCTCATATGCCTCTTGTGATGTCATCAACCCAAACACATAGAAAGCAGAATAATCTGTTTTTCTTTAATGTGCTTTTCCAAGACTTTTGATTTTGACTGTCCCGCCAATCAAATTTCATAATTCATTATGTATTTATTGACAGTGTGCATTTGTTAGTGAAAAAAAAATACACCAAAGAACAACAAATTTAAAGAAGTCTGAAACCATCTCTCATGATTTACACTTTTTAAATTTGAGTCATTTTGAATTATTAAACCACTCAAAATTCCTGAAATATGAGAGGTCCTTCATTTTTTTTCTGCCAACGTGACACTGCATCCAGAGATAGCATGCTTCCTGCTTCTTCCCTTCAAATGATGATGCTTCTACTGGCTGATACAAGTGTTGCAAAACAACTCTAAGCAATCCGATGACAAAAATAAAACTACAATCACTGACAAAAGCTGCTGTCCTTTCTGCGACCACATGGTGGGAAGTGTGTTCTGTCTCACAGGGCTTCAGATGGTAATTAAAAGCTCGAGTCATTAAATGAGAGCAGGTCGTCTGTGAGTCACAGTGCTGATCTGTTTCCAGCTCTGGTTAAAGTCGGTCTCTTTGTAATTCCTCCTCTTGCTCTTTCTCTCTCTGTGTGTGTGTCTGATTGTAAAAGCTGCCCGTTCCTGGTCAAACACCTGACCAGATGTATACCTGCTATCGGAGGAGCCCTGTTTGTGTTTGTGCTCATCACGCTGCTCCAGACCAGTTTCACCGACCCCGGCATCCTGCCTCGAGCCACTCCAGAGGAAGCCGCAGACATAGAGAGGCAGATTGGTAAGAAACATGTCTTGGATCTTTAGCGTCCTCTTGACACATCGCCGCCTTTAGATTAACAGTTTATGATGTTAAATACGGAGGACGTTTGGCACAAGGGCTTTTAAGTGGCTTCCTAAGGCGTCGTAAATGTCAAGTCAACTTCATACAGCTGTTTAGTTGCAATGTTAAATTATTCAGCCCTCTTCCTTCCGGTTTCTTTGCTCTGTGCTCTTCACATGTGTTAGCAGTTCTCCAGTGGTTGTTGTCTAAAAACACCCTAGGTTCTGTTCTTGTGCTCCTCGGAGCCTCCTACACAGGACCCAGCAGTCCTGTTCAGCCAGCAGTGACATAAGATGGCTATCTTATTCAACTGTGCTTCTTTTGTTCAAGTTATTTTAAGATTACGCCACAAGTGGGAAACATTTACTCTATTCATTACATAGTCAGTTCCTCCAGGGCATAATGACTGAGTTTGTGGCACCTTTTTACAAAAGTTTTGGTCAAAGTTGCATTTTTTTTAATACTTTATTTTTGCCTTAAAATGGATCTGACAAAACTGTTACACCCAACCTTCCCAAAAAAGACAGAATCTTTCCATGGTTAATGTTTAAAGTGCAAATACCATTTACAAGTTCTTGTAATAGAAATGGCATCTACATACGGATAAAATCAGGTTCTGAAGAAGGGTCAAAGTGCAAAAAAAGAATTTTATATCGATCATTCAGGTTAACGGGGTAGAAGCAAATCAAACAGAACATATCATTTTTGCAAACACAGAACATATGTTTGCAAAAAATAAAAAGGATGAATATTACTATACTAAATATAACCATTTTAGCATCCCACATGCATTCATCTCACAGGTTCG